TTCTGCTAGAATTCTTGACCCACAGAGAGGAGCAATCCCACAGTTCTTCATGGATGCTGGGGTTCTCCTCACCAATTTATTTCTCACTTTCATGGTGAAAGGTATCTCCTCTAGACCCTCCCAGAGCGGGTGAGTTGTTCTTACATGATTAAGACACCTTACCATTCCAATCTCCCTAGGCCTCTGGATCCATTTCTCTGTAATATAGCAAGGCAGGTCTGGTATTTTAACTTCATTGGGGGGGGGGGGGGGGGGGGGGGAGTCACCTTTTGTCCATTCTTCAGCCAACCAACCAAACCCCTAAGGCTACAACAGTGAATCCAGAATCTTTGCTTAGTGGTCCCTATTATCAATAAATTTGGCCTTGTCCAACTTTATGTTCCTTCCACCATTATCCCCCACCTTTAATATCCATTCCCACAAAAATCCCCCAGATTTCTACATGTATAAGTCAAAATAAATCATGTGGTTTTTAGAGTGCAGCACACCTTGTTCTGGGACACACTTTGTAGCTTCCCCTTGAGGGCCTGCGGGGACTTGGGAGTCTACTTATAGGTCTAGAAACAAAGAAGGGTGGTAGGGGTAGTTCCTGAGGAGAATCAGTTGTCTTGCAGGGCAATTACCTCAGGGAAGGTACCATTACAGGGACTTCCCACAAAGCAAGGTTAAATTCTTCAAAGAGGAGTGGAAGGACTGCTTCTACGGGCAAAGACAATGGATTAAAATTAGGCGTTCAGTACCCCATTCCAAATTTAAGGATTACTTTCCTTCTCAATCAATGCCCTCATTTTAATAGCAGATACTCTGCTATACATTGTAATTCAGCCACTTTGCAGGATGAGACTTTGGGTTTGGTTTTCAGCAATCTCAGCTCTGCAATTACAGGAGATAAGTTTCTTTAAGGCAGATATAAAAAATTTCAGGTTATTTATGTAGAGTTTGAGCTGGGAATCTGAAGACCTGAGTTCATCCTTTTCTTTTCCCTTTCCCCAGCACAGTTAGTAGCCAGCAGTCAGCAACCAGTCTCATTGTACTTGTTAATTTGACAAAAATGTTTTAAGTCATCAAATATGTGATCATCCCATCCTTATCTTGTATAAATACTTGCAAAGGATGGTGATGTTCTGGGTTTTGCATATTTCTGTTGTCACATCACACTATGGGCTATCAGTGCCCTTTTCACTTATTAGTGCCTTTAAATCTAATTAGATTAGAAATGTCATTCCAGGAACATCATAACCAATTCAGAAAACTCATCTTCAAGAATCTGCTTCTCTAGAACCACTCTCAGCACCAAAATTTGAATCAGGCAAGTTTCTCCAGAGATACAGAACCAAGAGAAAAAATTTATACATACATCTCTATCTATCTTTAGATTTATCTGTATTTAGATAGACATTTCTATTAGAAATCTATTATTATTTATCTAAATACATAAATATTTATTTTAAGATTGGCTCACAAAATTGTGGGGGCTAGCAACTCTAAAATGTGTTGGGTAGATTGGCAGGTTGGAAATTGGCAGAAATCAATGCTGTAGTCTTGAGGAAGAATTTTTTCTTCTTGAGACACTTCAGTTTAAAATTCAGGTCTTCGGGGTGCCTCGGTGGCTCAGTCGGTTAAGTGTCCGACTTCAGCTCAGGTCATGATCTCATGGTTTGTGGGTTCAGGCACTGTGTCAGGCTCTGGGCTGATAGCTTAGAGCCTGCAGCCTGCTTCAGATTCTGTGTCTCCCTCTCTCTCTGCCCCTCCCCCACTCATTTTCCCTCTCTCTCTCTCTCTCTCTCTTTCTTCTCTCAAAAATAAATAAACGTTAAAAAAAAAAGTCAGGTCTTCAATTGATTGGATGAGGCCCATCCACATTATTGAGGGTAATCTCCTTTACTTAAAGTAAATTGATTGCAGATGTTAACCAGATCTTTAAAATACCATCATAATAACACACAGATTAGTGCTTGATTAAATAACTAGGTGGTATAGCCTAGTCAAGTTGACACATAAAATTAACATCACACATAATAAACTTACATTTTCAACCAAATCTTACTTTCAACTATACCAAAAATCTTTTGAACAAGAATATCTTATGTGCTCCAAAAATGCAGTAAAATTTCAGCAGGAACGCTTTGGCAAGTGTACTGGAGGAACAGTCCTTCCTCCAAGACTGGAGAAACAAAACTTCCATAAACCAATTCTCTCCCACTTCAAAGAATACCATCATCTTTAGGAAGCTATAAGATTGTATCAACATTTACAATTTTTTTATGTTTCAAAAATGTGATCTTCAACTACACAACAGAAATCACACTTTAAAATTATACTTCTGAGAGCTGTCATTTTGGAAACTAATGACTTAAAAAGAGGGATGGTATCTACTGAATCTGTTGCTTACCTTTACTTTGACCAGAAAACTTGCAAGTTACTAGTCCATTTCCTTTCACTGACAAAAGTATAATCCAAACCAGGAGAAATCCAAAGCAGGCTGGATGACTAATGAGCCAAATAATCAAAACAGTGCATAAAGAAGTCTTATAAATGAATTGAAATAAATCTTGTATGTCCTTTAAAAAAAAAAAAGGATTTTTACAAAACTTTTCTTGGTAATTCACTCATTCAATCATCACCCAAGTATGCCAGGCACTGTTCAAGGCACTTAGGTTAAATCACTGAACAAAATGATGATCCTTGCCTTGTTGGGAGCTCACATTTTAGCAAGTAATGTCTTTATCGAGTTATTTTCTCTCTGAATATAATAACCCAAGCATTGGGAAGAATCAAGAAATTTTCTGAAAATCCATTATGTGCCAGCCAACTTCTAGTTCTGAGCCTGGCCTTCTAGCAGGCAGGGTTTCATTGTTAGCACAGCTTCTGGTCTCTGGAACCAGCTTGCCTGGGTCCAAATCCTAGTTTATTACTTCCTAGCTTCATGACCTTGGCCAAGTTACTTAACCCTCATCTATAAAAAAAATAAATAAATAAAATAAATCATAGCAACTACCCCACTGGATTATGTAAGAATTAAATGAGTTCGAATATGTAAAGCACTTACTCTGGCACACAGAAAATACCAAAATATTTGCTATTATTAATTCAAATTTCAGAAAATCAGACATTACTCAGGCAATAATGGGGGAAAATAACAACAATAGTAACTTTTAAAACATTTTTGTCTGGGCCATTCACTCCTTCCACTACAACTACATTCAAGCGTTCTTCCTCTATTCTCAATTTACTGACTTTCAGTTAAGTTTTATAAAATTTACAAAATGTGATCTCTATGTATCTCATGCATGACATCAATTCATGGTGGAGTTTGCATGCACACATATTTAAGAGGTTTTTAATCTAATGAAAAAATTTCTTAAAAAGTCAAAATTAGATTCATTTTCCCTAAAATTACAACAGCAATTATCTCAAGAAATTTTAGCATCAGAACCAGTAAATATGGCCATATGATCGCCTAGTTTTAATGCATGGATATGTACATAGTACATTCAATCCCTAGGACCTATACCTTTGCAGTTCTCAACATTCAGGAACTGAAGTTAATTCTCAAAACAGCTCACTCCATACAATTAAAAATACAAGCAGAGTCATCTGAAATTGAAGGCTCATTCTCATTTGTTAAAAATAGGCCTCATTCTTGGTCCAAAGTTTATAGAGGGTCAACAACCTCAAAAAAAGGTTAATGCCCACAATTTAGAAGTGACTGGATTGGAAAGTACATGCTGCAATGTTGCCACCCCCAATGCAAAGTCTCAATGTAACTACCTACTGACAAGGCAGGCCAGTAAAATACGTTTTCAAAGTTGCTTTTAAAGGGATCAATTTTGGTAAAGAATTCAAGATGAACTGTAAATCTAATCACGTTTTTATACCCCTAAGATGGGAGTGCTGAGGCACAACAACGTTAAAATGTGCACGCCATCAGTAACTTTAGTTCACAGATACAGTTTTGACCCTAAGTCCCTGGTTGAAAGACCTGAACTATGGAAATCCCAAGTTTCAGTACAGTGGGTGCCTTGGGCTCTCCAGTGGAAGCGTGAGGGGATGGCCAAAGTGAGTTTTCTCCCCCAACTATCCCATACCAAAGTCCAACCAACACAGAATAATACCACAATGTTTCTCAAGAATAGGGATGGGCTGCCCCCGCTCCAGAATCTGACAGATGAGAATGGCCTCCTCAGCGGGAGGTATGGCAGGTCTTCCCAAATACAGCGGTAGGGAACGACCTGCCAGTCCCTAAGACGTTGCTCATTTTTAAAGTAACTCCAAGAGCGGCGGCTCCCAGGCCCCTCCCTCAGCCGTCTTCTGACGAAGGGAAGAACAGAGGGCAAAGGGTTAACAAAGCACAAAGCTGAAAAACTATCCCCAAACCGGATTTGCCGAGCCAGGGGCCTAACAGAGAAGGGCGGGGGTGATCTCTTTCGGCCGCCAGGGCTTGTGGGCAGGAGGGTGTGCAGGACCCTGGCCCTGCAGGCGGTTTCCCGGCACGGCCCGAGAAGCGGTGGGCGCCGGGCTGGTGTTGGAGTCACGCCCCAGGTCTTTTCCCTAACATGCACCGAATTGAAGGTGCCCTCTCGACCCCTCCCGCAGTTCTTTTCAGGTCTTGGGCCCGGGCTACCTCTTAGGACGTTGAGGCCACCGCGTTTCCCGCCGCACAGGCCGAAAGACAGCTCCTCTGACGCCACGGCGGTGTCACTCAGGAGAGTGACCTGACCAAACGTGGGTCAAGATGCCGGAACCCACCCGGGTCAGGCAGACTCTCGCCGCTCCCGCCCCGCCGCGCCCCCCCGGGGCCCGCCAGCCGCGCCCACTAACAACGTGCTCGCCACTGCCCGAGCCGCTCCGCGCGTCCCACAGCTGACCCTCACGCGCTGCACGACGGGACTCGTAGTTCCGGCGCAAAGGTTGTACGACGCTCCACTCTCCGCGGAGAGCGACGTCACGTGATCCGGCCACTCCCCGGAAATGGCGTAACAACAACGCGTGGCGCCGACGGTCGCTTCCGCAAACAGAATCGTGGATGGATGTGTAGGTGAGTGTGGCGGCTGGGACGCTGGCTCTTCTTTGAGTTTAGGCCCTCTGCTGCCTTCGTTCTTGAAGGAGGACTCCAACTCTTGACACGCGCTCGCTTCGCGTTAGCCCTGTTCCTTCAGTACTAGTAGCGAGGGATTTATTGTGCACTCAGCCAGGAGCTAAGTGGGCAGTACTTGTAGGAGTTGGTGGGCTCTGTTGCTTCTCCAGACCGAGCGAGCCGGGATCTGGAGAAGCCAGAATTGGAGCCTCAGGCCGCACCTCAGTGGTGCCGAGAAGGCGGGTTGGGGAGGGGTTGTCAGATCCTAAGAAGCGTCTGTAATGAGCGGCGGTTTGGAAATACGGACCCGAGGTTTAGTAAGAGCTAGGCCGCGCCAATGACGGAAGAGGGTGAACTTGTCTGAAGATTTCCCTTCTCGCCTCTGTTGCGTCCTCCTAGGCCCCCGAGTTGACCCCCATCTAGCTGGCGGGTCGGGGCGGAACACTTACCTGCTTGAGGTTAAGCCAGGTGGCCCTGGCGCCCTACTCGGTCGTTCTTTGGGAAACTGAAATGACGAAGACATGGCCTGCCTCAGAGGTGTGACTGGAAAGCCAGGTCGAAATGCCTATTTGGATATTTAATAAACTTCCATCTCTATGTCAGTTTACTCAGTACCCTAAGCTCCTTCCTTGAGGATTCTGAGGGGCAGCTTTCTTTAGTTTGGAGTTTATTCATGATTGCACTTTGATGCTCAGTTTCTACTCTTACCTTACCCACCTCTGCGGTTCTTTGAAATTTTATGTTGTTTATTCTGACCTATTCGATTTTTTTTTTTTACATCCCTTTCGTAGATATAGAGTTGCCTATAAAATACAATCCACTCTAACTCCTAATACTAATTTTAGGCGCTGATTGCAGCCAGCGATGTTAAATCACATTGGTTGATTGGACTTTAAACCAATTTTTGTTTCCTTAATAGGAAATAAGTGGCAGGGTGGAAAAGATAGGCGTTTGATAATTTTGTGGCCAGTATTGCTACATAATGGTTTTAAGTGGTTATTCCGAAAATTACATTTCTGGGTGATTTTTTTTTTCTTTTATTCAGTTCTTCCTAGTTTGGCACGTCTTGGTATTTTGTTACCTACCCCTTGGTTATTGAAAGCTAATATCCCTTCAAACTTTTCCTGGTTTATAGTGACTTGTTTTTACCTATTCCCTTAAGCAACCTCATTTCTTACTCTATTTCTTTACTCAAAAGACCTTTTCCCCCTTCTTCATAATTTTCAGGTTCTGAATTTGCTGAATTTCATGGATTTTTTGACTGTTGCTCTCCCTTATCCATTTGGTTTGAATAATACAGCCTGACATTTTAAAAGTGGTATTTAGGGGCGCCTGGGTGGCGCAGTCGGTTAAGCGTCCGACTTCAGCCAGGTCACGATCTCGCGGTCCGTGAGTTCGAGCCCCGCATCAGGCTCTGGGCTGATGGCTCGGAGCCTGGAGCCTGTTTCCGATTCTGTGTCTCCCTCTCTCTCTGCCCCTCCCCCGTTCGTGCTCTGTCTCTCTCTGTCCCAAAAATAAGTAAAAAACGTTGAAAAAAATTTAAAAAAAAAAGTGGTATTTAGGCTGTAAGCTTCTTGAAGACTAACCAAATAGTGCCTTATTGAGATCCTTGTAGTAGGAGTATAGTGAAATTGTCAAATGACTCAATAAATTTCTGTCCCAGGGGCGCCTGGGTGGCTCAGTCGGTTAAGTGTCTAACTTTGGCTCAGGTCATGATCTCACTGTTCATGGGTTTCAGCCCCGAGTGTGGCTCTGTGCTAACAACTCAGAGCCTGGAGCCTGCTTTAGATTCTGTGTCTCTGTCTCTCTCTGCCCCTCCCCTGCTCACACTCTGTCTCTCTCTCTCTCTCTCAAAAATAAATAAACATTAAAAAAAAACCTCAAAAAAAAATTTCTGTCCTATAGTTCACTTATTTCTGCCCCCCTTCCATTTTACACATTGGTCTGTGAACATTTGAAACGGACTTAATAGTCATTAAGTTGCAGGCTGGGTCATGAAACTTCTTGTCCAAAGCTATTTATACTGTCTTTCCTTTCCAATTCTGACACCCATTATGAAATAAGGATTTCAGAAGTTAACTGTAGGTTCCCAGACTTTTCCTGTTCTTGGTGCCCTTAATATCTCTGATTATTTTTCTTAGTTAACCATGAAGGATTACTAATGGGATGTATACACCTGTTAGGTACTCTCAAGCTTTGAAGTCAGATTTGACATTGCCAACTTCATTTCCTGATTCACATTGATTTCCTGTGGTACCACCACAACCTCAGCTTCACAAAGTTCTGATGTCATTGAAAGGAATGTAGTGCAGTCTATTCATTTGAAACCTCTATTTGAAGCTGTATTTGTGATATCTTCCAGATGTCAGATATCATGGTTTCCCTTAAAATTTTAAAATACCCTGCTGTACCTGTACAAGTTTGCTATAGTGTCCAGCTCACAATTTGGGAACCAAGGCTATAAAGTAAAGATCAGAGTAGAAATGAAACTAGTGCTTGTATAATACCCCCACTTCATCTGTCAGTTTCAATGGCAGTAATGACTTTTATGGATAAGATTGTATAAAGTGTTTGGGGATTATAGTTAGTACTTGCATATTAGCATATTCAGAGATTCATTTGTAATATAGACTAGTTAATATTTTCAATATTCTGTCTATAATGAGATTTTTTAACTCGTAGTTGATAACTGAGATTAAATGGCTAGCTTCTGGTTAAAATTGTTTTAAAGTTTCAGCCTTGATGTTTACGAGTAATATCAAACTTTTGCCATTCCAGTGTTAGTTCATGAAGTTTTACCATCTAAGTAATCAAAAATGGAAAATTCTGTAAAAGCAGAGTGTGAAAAGATCTCTCTTGAAGACGCAAAAGCATCAACAGATTCAGAAACAGAGTCTTCATTCAGTATTAATGAAAACACAACCACTCCTGGGACTGGGCCCTCTGAAAAGGCTTCTATCTGTGGACACGTAGACACACCAAAAAAGAGAAAAATGGAATTTGAAGATGATATTGTAAAGGAAAGTTCTAGTTGTGGGGAAGACACTCCAACCAAGAAAAGAAAACTTGATGCTGAAATTGTTCCAGAGGAAAAAGGTTCTGGTGATGATGAAGGCATTTCAAGGAAAAGAAGAATGGAAACTGATGATTTTCCAAAAGATGAACCTTCTACTGGAGATGGCACACAGAAAAAGAGAAAAATAGAACTTGAGGGTGTTCCTGAAAAGCAAAAAGTATGTTGAATGTGTTTTCTTTTACTCATAATGGAATATGTCACATTGGAATGTGGAGAAGCTGTGAGATAATACTGTTTTTTACATAATCTTAAACCTTAAGAATATAAGTTTGTAATTATTTTTTATCTATTTGTAATAGATAATGTCTTAAAAGATAGAATAGGTTTTTAACTCTGTAATTTAGTTGCTTTTATTTAGATGAAACTTCTAATTGAGATAATTTTTGTTATTTAAGAACTCTTATTTGACTAGAAACTTGAAAACTAGTTTTTATAGTTTGCTTTTTCTCAGTGTTTTAAAAAACCAGTTGATACATTTTTTTCCTTTTTTGTTAGGTATTCATCACTTTCTTGTGTCCTAAACAGTAGAGATTATGACTTAAGATGATAAATTTCAGTATTACACCCAGCTTTACATTCCTTTCTTTAAAAACATTTCTTTTTAATGTGTTTATTTATTTTTGAGATAGAGAGAGACAGAGCATGAGCAGGGGAGGGGGCAGAGAGAGAGGGAGACACAGAATCTGAAGCAGGCTCCAGGCTCTGAGCTGTCAGCACAGAGCCCAACGCGGGGCTTGAACCCACAGATTGTGAGATCATGACCTGAGCTGAAGTCGGACGCTCAACCGACTGAGCCACCCAGGCACCCCTACATTCCTTTCTTAATGTGATTCTTTAAATGATATTGTTTCTAACTTCTCATTGGTGTAGTACATGCAATTTTAAGGCTGATATTTAGCATGGATATTCTAGAACAAGGAACAGCAAGTTATTTTCATCTGGGAATACCATATTATGAAGGAATCTGAGGCAGAATCTGGATTTGAATAGAAAGAGTACTTCAGTGAATGAGTAAAAATTCTGCCATCAGTCTGAATTCAAAAGTAAGGTGTCAGATAGGCCAGGCATTTGTCGTTGGTGGAGTGTGAATTCTTGTTAACAGAGGGGAGCTTGTATTATAACCACAGTTTTCAAACTTTATTAGCAGCAGAACCTTTTTTTCAAGTGGAAATCTTAAACCTGATATGTAAGATAGGTAAAAGATGAAGCACTTTGGTTGAACGGGGAAATGTGGGAATTTGAAGCCCTTTACCTACCATAGCATTTTTGCAAAATGCTTAGTATCAGGTAAGGAGCACAAACTGAAACTTTGGAGTTAGATGAAGAGAAAAAAAAAAAAAAAAAACACAAAAACAAAACCATTGACATGAATACAGCTTATTGAGTTCTAATTCCTTTGTATTATTTAATGCTTATGTGAGTTTTAGGATAATATAACTTATTCCTATTTTATTCTCTTATAGGAACCCCATCCACTGATGGACATTTATTGAATTGAATAAATCAGAACTCTGGAAGAGTACTGGTTTTATTAAGACATTGACACCAAAATTATACAGATGAAACATCAAGATGAAAATTTTAAACCAAGAGATGTTTTTAAATACAGGAAACAGGGGAGAACAAATCTTACGTATGATTATAATTAGTAGGATTATGTGGTCAATGTCATTGCTTTTTGAAGTTTACCAATTTTATTAGTATTTTATCCTTATATAGGTCAGATGCTCTTTTAAGGCTTATTTTTGCCATGTTCTGATCCTTAATTTTATTCCATTCTCTTATTTTCAGAACTTAGAAGAGGGACACAGTTCAGCAGTGGCTGCCCACTACAATGAACTTCAGGAAGTTGGTTTGGAGAAGCGTAGCCAAAGTCGTATTTTTTACCTCAGAAACTTTAATAATTGGATGAAAAGCGTCCTCATTGGTATATATGATTGATTTTTTATTTATAGTTTGGAATCTTTTATTTTAGCTTATGTCTCTTTTTTTTTTTTTTTTTTTTTTTTTTCTTTCCAAATGGTTATACATTAAACTACTTAGTCTTTCATTCCTATTCATTTAATTATCCAACCTTGACTTGGTAAAATTGGAGCAAAAATGAAAACTAGGCCTTTAAGATACATTTTTTTCATATTTACTTTTGGAGTAAATAAGATATTGCTGAGTGTTTAATTGATATTAAGTTCATAAGTTAACCAGGCTTTCAAAAGGCAGTATGCTCCTTTTATACTAAGAATTAAGGTTACCTAGTGCTATTAAGTAATTATTCTATGTTACTCTAATAGTTTTGGGGCAGTGACTCATTGTTGGATTAAGCATTCAGCTTCTATTAAGTCAAGAAAATGGGCATTGTCATGATTTTTCATCTCTAGGCCTTTAATGAGTTGGTAAAGATGGTGGTATCACCACATATGTGGTAATTTTTTATTGAACTTACACAGTGTCTGGGGAAAAGTAAAGTTTACTTTGAGGCTTGATAAAGACATCCAACTTTTTGGAGCCAGCCAGCATTTTATTTATGGAAACTCATCTTTAAAATTAAAATGTGGGGTGCCTGGGTGGCTCAGTCGGTTAAGTGTCCGACTCTTGATTTTGGCTGAGGTCGTAATCTCGAAGTTCATGGGATCCAGCTCTACACCTGCTTGGGATTCTCTCTCTCTGTCTTTCTGCCCCTCCCCTGCTCATGTGCATGCTCTCTCAAAATAAAAAAAACATTAAAAAAAATTAAAATGCAAATCATTGGAGAAATATGATTCAGAACATATTTATTGCTCTATATATTTAACCTATTAAGTAGATTCTTAGGTGAGTTTAGAGAATTTTTAAAAGCCAGTGTGTTTTGAAGTTTTTCACAGTAAGATTTTGGTGTTTTTTTTTTTTATTTATTTAAAAGCCAGCCTCAGGAAAAGTGAGAATGCTTTTGTGATGACACTGGAAAGAATGAAGTGCTAATTATGGAGACTTTTTAGTAGTTTTGATGATAATTTACTAATTTTTATTTTACTTATTTTAAAGATTTTATTGTTTTAGTAATCTCTAAATCCAATGTGGGACTTGAACTCACAACCCTTAGGTCAAAAGTCACATGCTTTACTGACCAAGTCAGCAAGGCATCCTAGTAATTTACTAATTTTTAAAGATACCTTATTCATTCTGAATAGTTATTAGGAGTGGGAACTAGGCTCATTATTTCGAACACATATTAATATTTTCTATCTCACTTTTGTTTTTCATCCTCATTTTATTACAGAAATATGACTTATTTGTCTCTGATAGTTTTCAGCTAGGGTAATTAAATGTCGCCTCCCAATTCCTCCCCGCCCCACCCCCCTTTTTAAGGTTAGTATTATGGCATTTTTAGTCTATACTTTTAAGGTAATCTTTGAACCCTAATTCTCATTTCTTTTCAGTTTTTCTTTTCCATTCCTCATCATCATCAGTAACATAGATAGCTTCTTGGGTATTTTTTCTGATGTGTCATTTGTTCTTGTATTATTCATTGATTAAATATTTTTAAGTTCATCTGTATTTTTTACATCATTGTATTATTTTTATAATCAGGGAAACAGGTCATTTTCAAAAAGTCATAAGTCAGATTTAACAAATTTTTTTCTCCCTGCATATTCATGCTATTCTTTCTTCCTTCAGCAACTCTCTCATTGGGTGCTTTGCTATCTGCACCTGTCTTTCTGATTCTTTTGCAACAGTGTGGTCTGTGCCAAGTTCTGTCTCTGGCTTTTTCCTTTCTCTTTTCAAACACCCATTCTTTGTCATTCATTTATTATGCTATTTAAGTTTTCTAGGAGAAAATTAAATATAGAACACTGTGCTTCTGTCAAAGTTACTTTAACATCCTATGGACAGTGAAAGGCAGAAATATTTACACAGAGTATTTTAGCAGTCACAGTAGTACACACATGAAATAGGAACTGTTAAACTCAGAATAATAAGGACAAGAAGAGTAGATCTAGGATTCAGCATTGTATCAGGTTTTTGAATTGCTGAATACTTCAGTTTTTTAAGAATATTAATAGGCCTTTAACTGATATTTGAACCATTTGGCTATTGATACATTGGACCATACTGATACTATTTGTTGGTTATTAATGTGATTTGGTAGATTGGGATGAAAGATTTTTTTTTTTTTATTAAAAAATTTTTTTTCAACGTTTTTATTTATTTTTGGGACAGAGAGAGACAGAGCATGAACAGGGGAGGGGCAGAGAGAGAGGGAGACACAGAATCTGAAACAGGCTCCAGGCTCCGAGCCATCAGCCCAGAGCCTGACGCGGGGCTCGAACTCACGGACCACGAGATCGTGACCTGGCTGAAGTCGGACGCTTAACCGACTGCGCCACCCAGGCGCCGCAAGGGATGAAAGATTTTTTAGAGTGGTTTAAGAATTCTGATGATACTGGAGCACTGGGGTGGCTCAATTGGTTAAGTATCCGACTTCAGCTCAGGTCATCACCTCACAGTTCATGAGTTCGAGCCCTGTGTTGGGCTCTGTGCTGACAGCTTGAAGCCTGGAGCCTGCTTCAGATTCTGTGTCTCCCTCTGTCTCTCCTCCGCTTGCACCCTGTCTCTCTCTTTCTCTCTCAAAAGTAAATTAAAACGTTTAAAAAAAATCAAAAAAAAGAACTCTGATAGTAAAGTTAAGAGGTATGTATAGTTTTTGGACTTATATTTGTTATATTTGTTTTGGTGGTCAGCCTGACACCTTTTTTGAAAATCAAGCACTCTTGACCCCATAATTACTTTGATTTATGTAGGTATATTATAAGCTAAACATTTAGCTTTCGGAAAGAGAAAACTATAAAAATTATGAGTAGGTTTTTTTCCTTATCATGAGCAAGTGTTGGATTTTCTTGTATTAATTAGAATTTAAAATGTCTGCTATTCAATGTTGAATCAAGTTCTAAGAGTAACCTTCAAAAACCTGTCTTAACTTTCTAAAATACCAGACACATACTCTTTTATCTTTAATGCTAGAGGATGAACTTAACTAACTCTTAGTCATATTTTGAAATGTTTACCAAAAGTTATGAATTATATAAATGAATGTTTAATAGTTTATAGTAAATGTCAGGCAGAAGTTAGTAGGTTTTTAGGGGTTGCAGTTGATGCTGTAGTAAAAATGGAGGAAAGATCATTTCTTATGACTTATTTCTTTTAGGGGAATTTTTAGAAAAGGTACGACAGAAAAAAAAACGTGATATCACTGTTTTGGACCTGGGATGTGGCAAAGGTGGAGATTTGCTCAAGTGGAAAAAGGGAAGAATTAATAAGCTAGTTTGTACAGGTAACGTAAATAATGATGTGGGGAAGAATAATTCGTGATCAGTCAGGTAAATGGAAAATGAGCAGGATCTCATTATCACATGATACTAAAAGATCTTATAAGAAGATATCTGAGGCTGTGTGTGAGATGGGTGTTTTTTAAAAATGAATTATGAGACTTTACTGATGGTATTATGCAGTATAGTTAATGAGCCTGGTATAACTTGTCCTCCCTAAAAGGAAGGAAGTAATCAAAGAGTCATGTCTAAAACACAAACATGAAAAGACTTCCACTGGCCAAAGATAGGACAATTTCATCATCAAAAAGAATAGTGATTACAGTAGATTGAAACACCAAATAAAGGGGAAAACCCCCCCCCCAAACCCTCAGTATTCACCCTTCGAGGTTGCTATAGGAAACTTACTCATCATTCTGAAATTCATAAATTAAGGGGTGGGGGCTGAGTATGTATCTTCCTTACCTTATGTGAACTGTATTTCAAAGTAACCAAATGGTTGACAAAGAAAATTCCTCTTAACTAAAAACTCCTAATGAATAAATGCAGGAGGAATGATGAAAATCACTATTTTCCACCCTCAATGAAATAATAGATCTAAGCAACAATCATAGAAGTTGCTAAATCTATTAGGTGAAAAGTTGATAGGAATTTAATAACTGAATGAATCAAGCTCCTGAACCCACTGGTCAGTCTTAACACTGAAGTAGGACAAGCAGATGTTATGTTCTTCCAGTGCAATGAAATGTACAGCACCATCTATATAAAGTTACCTATTTTGACACTTCCCAAATTTTTGGTTTTATGAGTGCCATACACCTTTATTTTTAAGATTGAGGATGAGAAAACTTTTGTGTATGTGCCTATATCTATTGATTATAGAAATTAAAACTGAGAATTTAAAGAATATTTTTCATCAATAAAAAATAAAGTTTAGTGACAAGACTAAAAATACTTTAGTCTTTAAAAATATTTTTCCAAATCCCTTTAGAGTATAGAAAAATAGGAGACAACTAGATTTTCATACCTGTTTCTGCATTCATTGTGTTTTGATGTGTTATTTTATTTGATGAATAGTTGTAGTGAAGGAGTATTTTAACACTTTTCAGATAATTGAGCATATTCATCTTTGTTATTATATCAAAACTCAACAGATAGGGGCGCCTGGGTGGCTCAGCCGGTTAAGCGTCCGACTTCAGCTCAGGTCACGATCTCGCAGTCCGTGAGTTCGAGCCCTGTGTCGGGCTCTGTGCTAACAGCTCAGAGCCTGGAGCCTGTTTCAGATTCTGTGTCTCCCTCTCTCTGACCCTCCCCTGTTCATGCTCTGTCTCTCTCTGTCTCAAAAAAAAATAAAACGTTAAAAAAAAAAAAAAAAAAACTCAAGAGATAGTAGTTCCTTACAGATAGTTATAATGTGGCATCTGAATCTGTATCAATGAACTTTTTATATTCTGTTACATTTAAATCCATTGGTCTGTCTTGCGCTTTGAATGGATCTTTTCCCTGTAAGATTTTGTAATATTTGGAAAATAATGTTCACTAAAGTTATGCAGATCTTCTAAATGTTGACATCAAGAAATCACATTTTTTTTAATGTTACCATCAATCAGAAAAGTTTAAGTATTGGGAAGATGCCCAGCCTGTGGTGGTAGATAGAAGTGTTTCAGATTGTAATTTTCACTTGAAATCTCAAGTTTTATCATGGGTAACAAATACTGTCCTTTGTTTTCCTTGCAGTGGAGGTTCACTTTGTTCATTTTCAAAAAATGTCTGCCAAATCACCAAGTCTAAATAACCGGTTTATCTGTCACTGGTTCTTTCAAGTGAAAACAATTTTCTATGAAAAAAGTGTCCAGTACAGCTCACAACACAGTCACACTGGTCCTGTTCAAACTTTGTTAGGTAGCACAGATATTCTGTTACTTTCCATCTCATCACACAGAATATTGAAAAAGAGCTGAGCTTTATCAAGAGCATTCTTAAATGAAATTATGTTTTGGGGTTTTTTTGTCCATGCTAGTTTGTAGTGGTGAAGAAGATATTAAGTATTACGTGTACCATTTGGTGCTGCTACCTTGTATTCATGATAAGGTGCCAGCATTTTACTTTTCATTGCTTTTGCACCATCAGTGCAAATCTCAACATGGAAAAAGCAAATAACATTCTATTAAAAAAAGCAAACTTGATATTTTCTGAGCTGGGCACGTAGTTTAGGTTTTATAATTCAAATTGGAGTCTAAATTTTCTACTTTTAACTTGGAATAAGCATTTAAAAATAATGACGGGACGTTTCTGTTGTCAGTATCTATTGAGAAAGCTTTTAATCCTTTTAAAAAGTAATAGGATATTTGCATTTGAACAGAGACTTTCTTTTGTTTTGAAGAAAATAGAACCTCCTTGCTTTTACTAAGGTTCACTTTGGATTAATGTGTAGATTTGTTCCATCTTTGCATTTACATTTTATTTCTTTAGGTCTTTGCCAGTTACTAATGTCTGTCCCTTTCTGCCTTGCAGATATCGCTGATGTTTCTGTCAAACAGTGTCAGCAGCGGTATGAGGACATGAAAAATCGTTGTCGTGACAATGAATATATTTTCAACGCAGAATTTATAACTGCTGATTGTTCAAAGGTACAGAATTTTTTTAATTTGTCTATTTATTTATTTTATTTATTTATTTTTAGAGGTGGGGGTAGTGGCAGAGGTGGAGAGAGAGAAAGAAAGAAAGGGAAAGGAAGGAAAGAAAGAAAGAGAGAAAGAAAAAAAAGAAAGTCAGTCAGTCCCAAGCAGGCTGCATGCTGTCAGCACAAGGCCCAGTGCAGGGCTCCGTCCCGCGACCTTGTGATTATGACCTGAGCCAAAATCAAGAGTCAGATGCTCAACTAGGTACCCTTGTCAATTTATGTTTTATATTTTTCCTTTGGATAAATGATGTGTTTTAAAAATCAGTTCATTCTTTTAAAATGTGCTTTGAAACATTAAAAATCTCAAGACATGCATTTTCAGTTTCAACTGGAAATTCTATTAATGGTAAATTTTCTTAAATGACCCACTGAGTATTTCTGGGAACTTTTTGCTTTTAATAATTTGAACTCTTGAAATCACTTGTTGCTTTTCCATTCAGACAAGACTTATTTTCCGGTATTTTGAAAAAGAACTGAACTTATGTTTTGTTTACAGTATAATTTATTAGGGTAGTTTCCCAGCATATCAGAGTTTGGTGCTTTCCACCTTCCACCTGTTTCTGAATTTCCTAACAACTATGAAGTTTAAGAACTACAGTGGCACTTGAATAGTGAAAGTCTCACCTTGACCTTTAATGCTTTGTCTGACTCATTTGCTCATTGAACTATTACAGCTATCTTTAATCCTATACGTTTTGTTTGCAGTTGTGAAAGTGAAGTGGAAAAGTGGTAGTATACTGCTAGAATGTCAGAAACCTTTAAAAACACTTCTGCATGTTTATAAAGTATCCCAAAGGCCAGCTTTATGTTTTTTAAACATACTGTTAAAGTTACGCTTCAGCATCATTTTACTTTAGCTTTTAAGTAAACCAGATAAAAGCATCAACTCTTTTAAATGTCATACTTGGTTGATAAGTTTTTAAACATGATTTCAGAATCCCTAGTTTTTAATTACTTTATTGAAGGAAAAGATCGTTTTATTGTGGGCCTTATTATACATAATGAGAGAAAAGATAGGTGGTTGGGAGGGGCATGTCTACTTTTGTTTTAAGGACTCTAATTCTGGGATGCCTGGGTGGCTCAGTCGTTAAGCGACCAACTTCACCTTGGGTCATGATCTCATGGTTGGTGAGTTCGAGCCCCCCATTGGGCTCTGGGCTGGCAGCTCAGAGCCTGGAGCCTGTTTCAGATTCTGTGTCTCCCTTCTCTCTCTGCCCCTCCCCTGCTCATGCTCTGTTTCTGTCTCAAAAATAAAAAATAAACATTAAAAAAATTTAAAAAAAAAAAGGACCCCAATTCTACAAATTATGTTACTAAAAATTTTTTATGTTGCAGTTAACTTCAAAATCTTGACCCATTGTATTTTATTTATTTTTTAATATATATATTTTTAATGCTTATTCACTTTTTGAGAGACAGAAACAGAGTGTGAGCAGGGTAGGGGCAGGGAGAGAGAGGGAGACATAGAATCCGAAGCAGGCTCTAGGCTCTGAGCTGTCAGCACAGAGACCAACACGGGGCTTGAACTCACGAACTGTAAGATCATGACCTGAGACGAAGTCAGATGCTTAGCCAGTTGAGCCACCCAGGTGCCCTGTTGACCTGTTTTAATTTTTAATTTGTTTCAGGAACTTCTAATTGACAAATTTCGTGACCCAGAAATGTGCTTTGATATCTGCAGTTGTCAGTTTGTCTGTCACTACTCATTTGAGTCCTATGAGCAGGCTGACATGATGCTCAGAAATGCTTGTGAGAGACTGAACCCTGGAGGCTATTTTATTGGTACCACTCCCAATAGCTTTGAACTGATGTAAGTACTTTTGATACATGGCTTATAAGCTACTCAGAGTTAAGGTTTTTTTTCCCTTAAGTTTATTTATTTTGAGAGAGGGGGAGAGAGAGAGAGAGAGAATGTGTGCACAAACGGGGAGGGGCAGAGAGAGAGAAGGAGAGCCCTACCAGGGGTCCATCTCATGAACTGTGATAAGGGCTGAGCACTTTGATAATGTATTTGACCTCAACATTTAAGGTCAAAAGATAGATAATACAGATGGATCTTTAAAACATTTTTATGTATAAATTGGAGACCGATGCTATATCCAGCCAGAGGTTATAGTGCTAGACAAACTCCGGATCAGATAAACAAAGACTTACCCAGGAGTCATGAGTGGTGAAACCAATTTCTAGCCTAATTTTATGAGTGAAATTGTTCATTATCTTTTACTTTATTGCTTCTTAAGAGTAGCTGAAATCCAATTAAAAATCCGGTAGTTTTTTCATATGCATAATCTGATCAAAATAAGTCTAAGCTAATAACAACTTTAATCTTTTTATTTTGTTTTGGGGATAACCTTTAACAGAAGACGCCTTGAAGTTTCAGAAACAGAATCATTTGGAAATGAGATATATACTGTGAAATTTCAGAAGAAAGGAGATTATCCTTTATTTGGCTGCAAATATGACTTCAACTTGGAAGGTGTTGTGGATGTCCCTGAATTCTTGGTCTATTTTCCATTGCTAAATGAGTAAGAATGTCATTAATCTGTTATTCTTCTCTTTTTGCCTTAAGAGTGAAAAAAAAGGGGGAAAAAATCAGTCTTTCCATTCATTCCTTATTTTACATAGAACCCAAAGAAAAAGTATAGCCTTGTAAAGAAAAAGAAAAAAAAAAAATAACGTCATATCCAGTTTTGTGCCATAGGTCTCTAATAGCCTTGCTTATTTAGTTTTCTTTCATCCTTAGAATTACTTTATCCTGTAGGTAAGAAAGGAACCTGTTGCCTTCAACTTGTGGCAGAAAATACCTTACATTGCAAATAGAGAAAGATTTTTTAAAAAAAACTATTAGTAACTTTGATAATATAAAATGATCCTCTTTTGACAAGGATAGGTATTAAAAGTTGTTTTACATTTCACTATAGCTTTGAAATTGCCTGTGTCTCACAGGCAGTGTTGATAATAATATCCTGATTCAGGAATGTATTCACTCGTGCACCTGGACCTAAGACTCTTGGCAAACTACAGACATAGGGAAACTTGGGCTATCCAGGCTTCAAGGCCTTATGAGACCCCTGGGTCTTGGAGGTTTCCCTGAGACGGAAAGTGGAAAAGTCAACTTAAATCTAAGGCCGTGTCACAGTTGACCAAACCTAAGTTGATTTCGTACTTTTAAAGACAAAAGTCTTTTATTGATGAAAAAGCTTTATTTGCTACTTATTTTGAGTTGGTGATTACTTGAGTTGTGCCTCAGTCAGCTTATAAAATTATAGATACAAGATTTTTAGGATTCTACAATATATAAAAATTTTATACAATAGTATGAGAAAATCAAATAGCATGGGACTGAACATGAGAAAAATGTTATGTACAATTTATATAAGCTGTAAAATTTAAAACTTTAAATCACTTTTTCCCCCCTTAACATTAGTAAACTCTTGTGAAATGTTTCTGCTCTTTCTAAAAGAAGAAATTAAATTTTTTTAGTATGTCATTTCATATGTTTAGTATGTTAGCTTGGTGTTTTTGGTTAACAAAGTTGGTGATTTGAGTAGAACCAAAAAGATAAAGGCTATAATGAAACTTTTTTTTAAATGCTAAGGAAGCACTCACAGTCTTTTGTACTTAAATTGCTTAATGGTGATGCATGTGTAAAGTGTCAAGTCATCTCTATAATATCTAAAGTTTTAAAAAATTAATTACTAAAACAGCTATACATTCAGTGGGACAATCTGAAAATGCACAGGATTTTTGAGATGCCCTTCTGCCATTTTGTTAAGAAACTGATCAAAAATATAATTAGCTTTTTATATGGCAAACCCATTCAAATTGGTCAAACTGAGTCTCAGTTCTTTGTAATTATGGTATTTCTCAGGCATTAAGCTTGGTTTTATTTCTAAAGCCTTATTTTGTAGATTTATGAGTTTCATGAACTGCCAAAAATAGAAGAGACTCTTTTCTTTGCTCATGTTGTCTTTCCAAGGAAGGCTAATTCAAATTATGGGGAGGCCTTACAGATGCCTCTTACATACAAATCCAGTGGCTCTCAAATGTTTCCATTCTCACTGTTCCCTCAACTGTCATCTCGCAAATCTTCTCATGGACTCTTTCAGAATTATTTTCCCTTCATCTCCTCCTTTACCTGCTGCCTGAGATCATATATGAATTTTGATATATATATAAATTTTATCTATGTATATACATATGTATATATGTATATATAAATTTTAACAAATGCAGTGAGGAAAAAAACGAGTATAACAGGGAGACCTAATGTAATTGAGGATTTTAGAGTCCACCTAGGAAGAAGTGATGTTTAAGTCAACAGCTAAAGGATGAATAGAAATTGGCCAGTTGAAGACTGGAAGGGAGAATGTTCCAGATATAAGTGACAATATGTATGAAGGCCCTGAAATGGGAAAGGGCTTGGCTCTTTCAAGGAGCTAAAGGAAGGCCATTGTGTGGTCATAAGGAATGAGGGCCCAAGTGGCTCAAGATAAGGAGCATTTTCCTTTTTTTTTTTTTTTTTTTTTTTTTTTTTTTTTGAAAGTAGGCTCTACACTCAGTATGGGGCTCGAGCTCACAACCCCAAGATCAAGAGTTGTATGCTGTACCAACTGGGCCAGCCAGATGCCCTAAAGCAGCATTCCTTTATAGATGAGTGCCTTAAAGGCCATGCTGAAGCCTTTTGAATTGTGTGGTGGAGATCCAGTGAAGGGCGTAAAGGGGGAAAGTGACATGTGTGTATTTTTGAAAACTCAGTCTGGTTGCAGTTGAAATATTCATTGAGGGAGAGTAAGAATAGAAGCATGGAACCTAGCGAAGTAGTACAGCTGAGTGGTGGTGGTGGTGGTTAAAGCAAGATGGTAGCCAATGAAGGGGTAAGAAGACCTATTTGAAGTATATTTTATAGGTAAACAGAGGATGTAGTGGTGTGTTGAACACAGCAGGCATTGGAGAGAAGAGGCATGGAGAACTCTGAAGTTTCTGGCACGAATCATTAGATGGATTTACTGAAATAAAGATTGGCAGAATGGTCTAGTGGGTTCAGCCTTGGATTTGGAAAGTTAGAGAATTCCTGTGACACATCCTGGTGGAGATTTCTAAGAAGCAGTGGAATAAATGAGTGACGAGAGAGCTGAACTACAGATAGCTGTTGGCATGCTGTGTAAAGTCAGGAAGGAGAAAATGAGTGAGGCTGTGGGCCAAACTCTTCAGAACATTAAAATTTACAAGTTGGGTAAAAGGCATTTGTAAAACAAACTGTGAAGAAGCAGCTACAGGTGTATTATAAAAATTAATAGTGTCTTTTGCTAGAGAATCCAAGAGATGAAAGAATATTTTAAAAAGGAATGGCAGCTGTTTTCAATGCCACTGTAAGGGATTAAGTTAAATAAATGAAATTGATAGAAAAATGTTCCTTACAGCTTTTTTTTTTTTTTTAATTTTTTTACATTTTTATTTATTTTTGAGACAAAGAGAGACAGAGCATGCGCATGGGAGGGGCAGAGAGAGAGGGAGACACAGAATCGGAAACAGGCTCCAGGCTCTGAGCCATCAGCCCAGAGCCTGACGCGGGGCTCGAACTCACGGACCGCGAGATCGTGACCTGGCTGAAGTCGGACGCTTAACCGACTGCGCCACCCAGGCGCCCCTGTTCCTTACAGCTTTCATCCCTGTCTCACAGCCTTTCCTTTTACTTTCATGACCCGTTTATTACAGTAATAGAGTTACCTGTGGCCTATTGAGATTGAGAATGCATGTTTTCTTCTAGATGTAATTATTGGTATGTTGCTCTTCACTCATTTTGTATCATCCTATTTTGAATTTATAATGATAGTTTTTTTAGTGATGCCCAGAAGTTGTCACTGTTGTGTGAAAGTAAACTATTGAGGAATTATAAATAATGTGGAAGTGTTTTAATTAAGTAATCTATTTTGGACAGAATGGCAAAGAAGTACAATATGAAACTAGTCTACAAAAAAACATTTCTGGAATTCTATGAAGAAAAGGTTAAGAACAGTGAAAATAAAATGCTGTTAAAACGAATGCAGGCCCTGGAGGTAAGTATTTAGAAATTCTAGGTCATGATAAACTTGTTTGACTGTTTCTGAGATTCCTTTCAAGACCATATAGATGCTCAATATTTATATAAATCACACAGATTATTCTTAACTGCGCTAGACCCTTCAGCACCCAGGACAGAGCTCATTACAGAAACTTTCCTTCATGGCTGCTCAGGAAATACTGGAATGAATAAATGAATGTCACTGTTATCAAATTCTGTTTTCTAGATAGACTGTTTTAAGATAGGATTTCTTAACCTCAGGATTGTTGGCATTTTGGACTGGGTAATTTCTTTGTTGTGAAGGGCTGTTCTAGTCACAGGATATTGAACATCATCCCTGGTGTCTATGCACTAGATGTCAGTAGTACCCCTGCCCCGAGTTGTGAGCCAAAAATGACTCCAGATGTTACCAAATATCCCCTGGGGTGCAAAATTACATTACTTCTTCACAATAATTCCCTTTGGTTACATTAGTAATTTAAAATCTTCCTGGCCAGGATCTAAGATGAGCTCATACCATGCCTAGTTTTGTTCTTTGGTGACTATCTAGCAAGATTCTGGTCTTTTAGACTATATTGCTGCTGAGACCTGTTTTAACTCCTGGATTCCTCTCTGCTTTCCCAAATTGCAGCAATGGCAGCTTCTATACAAGCATTTCAGTATTTAATGAGATCTGAAATAGTGAACATTTTTGTTATTATCAACAGGATCATATTAATCAAATGGTTATTAAACTTCTTTAGAGAGTTCGTTCAATTGAGAATATTTTTTAAAGTACTGCAAGCATACTCACTTATTTTGCTAATTACCCCCATGAAGTAGGCAAAACAGTCCCCTTCCACAGTTTAAAATGGGCCATCTTAGGTTCAGAGAGGATACATGAGTTTTTCAAGGCCACAAAGTTGTAAACCTAAGATATTCTTTAGTTTTTATAGGTGGTTTTCAAACAAATCTCCTGCTGCAATTGCATCCATACAGCTTTCCCAATTTTGAGTGGAAAGATCCTCTTTAAATCCTAAGTTATCTTTTGAAACTACTAACCACTAAAATGTTACATTCTTCATTGGTTATATTTTCTGTATTTTAGAATTAAGAATATTTGTATTTGCTTTATGTTAGCAGGAGAGGTTTGTTTTTGTTTTGAGAGAGAAAAGAAAACTAGAAAAAGTGTGTGTACACAAATCACCACACACATATGCCTGTAGTTTGTCATCCTTAACTTGGTGGTGTTTTGCATGTACGATGATCAGTTATTTATATTTTTCTCTTAGCATGTATGTAATGACTTGATATGTGTAATTTTTTCAAAATTGTATGTGGAGAGTGGGATATGGGATAGCAGGGTCCCCTTTCTTCAAGGATCTTATGGTATGTTGAGATAAACATTCAAGCCAGTTATTCAGTACAATATGAGAATTGCAGTAATGAAATACTCAAAGTGCAGTGCTTATCCGAAAGGGTCTTTTGTGAAAATAGTAAACTAAGAGTGAAGGCAGAGAAGCATGAAAGAGTAGGGGATGTTTGAAGAAGTAGGAAAAACTTTCTTTAGCAAAGTGGTTCTCCAGTCTTCCTTTTCCCCCAGTGTTGCCTTTGAGGATATGACTTATCCCTCTGGGAACATACATGAATGTAATAGCATGTAATTGAAAAAGTCCTTTGGTTTTTCCTACTTCTTCACCAAGTTACTTCTGCAAGTCTATAAAGGACTTTGAGCAGGAGACAACATGTCCCACGAGTGGGAACATGACTCAGATGGTAGTATAGAGGATGGTTTGGAGGGGTGTGAAGACCAGAGACACAGTCAGAATGCTAATTGTTTTAGTCTGTGTTAGAGTTTTAAATGGATCTGTTTTCTGATGTTTGCTATTAAAAAAAAAATCTTTTCCTAAAGCCATCAGCCTTGAGCTGACCCAGAGATTCAGCAATAGAACCAATAACTTTGCTCTCCTAGAGCACTGTAGCAGAGGGAAGGAAGAATGAAAAGACTCAAGGCACTATGGTTATAAAATCCTGACACCTGTTTTCTTTTCTTTCACCTGTTTTCAAAAGAATAATCAGTTCTGCAGCTTTATAGTCATATGTTGTTTGGTCTTTTAACGTGATTGAGAGGGGAGAGAGATAGATGTCTAGTGAGAGGCAGATAAGCACATGCAGGAATCTTATACTTACTGATACTTTGAAGAGCATATTTACAACAGAATAGTTTGCAGTCATTCACATTGAAGTTTTGAAGCTTTATAATAGGGTGAAACCACAAGATGTGGGATTAAAGTTTCAAAAACACTTAAAAGTGGTGTTTCTTATATCCCTTGTATTAAGATACCATAAAAGGTAAAGTTGCTGATTATAGCAATATGGGACTCCAAAAAGCTAAGTACTTTTTAAATAGTAAACAACCAAATTTCTAATGTCTGAGCTTACTGTGGGATACATTTAAAGAAGGGAAAAAGGAAGATAGCAAAGTAGACATTCCTAGATCATTTTCTTTCTTTCTTTCTTTCTTTCTTTCTTTTTCTTTCTTTCTCTCTCTCTCTCTCTCTCTTTCCTTCCTTCCTTCCTTCCTTCCTTCTTCCTTCCTTCCTTCCTTCCTTTCCTTCCTTCCTTCCTTCCCTTCCTTTCTTTCTTTCTTTCTTTCTTTCTTTCTTTCTTTCTTTCTTTTCTTTCTTCTTTCTTTCTTTCTATGTTTATTTAGTTTTGAGAGGGAGAGAGAGCTCATGTGTGCCAGAACTGGGGAGGGGCAGAGAGAGAGAGACAGAGGATCTGAAGCAGGCTCTGTGCTGACGGCAGAGAGCCAGATGTGGCATTCGAATTCATGAACCTTGAGATCATGACCTGAGCCGAAGTCAGATGCTTAACTGACTGAGCCATCCAGGTGCCCCTGAAACATTTTCTTAAAAATTTACTAGGAAGATCTAGGTCTGAAGTGATTCTTTGCTGGCTGGTTTGTTGTAAAAAGACAAAGGAATTAGAATATATAACCTTTGTAGAGTAGATGGTTGTTAAATATTAAGTATTCTATGTAGTTCATTATGGTTTCATTTACATATATTACAAAGCAATACACTTCATAGTATAAAGGGATGTTACTTGAGATGGATTAAAAATAGCACTTGAAGTAATTTGAATAAACATTTGGCCAGCATAGCCTTAAAACAGCATTTTTGTGTATGTGTAGCCCTTCTTCAAATTCTTTTTTTTTTCTTTTTTTTTATTTATATATGAAATTTATTGTCAAATTGGTTTCCATACAACACCCAGTGCTCATCCCAAAAGGTGCCCTCCTCAATACCCATCACCCACCCTCTCCTCCCTCCCACCCCCATCAACCCTTAGTTTGTTCTCAGTTCTCAACAGTCTCTTATGCTTTGGCTCTCTCCCACT